CCACCCCCCAATATGCGTAGGTTGTGAAAAAAGCTTTAGTCGTTTTCCTTTTAAAAATAAATCTACCATGTTGGGTATAATTTGAAACCTTATTTTCTCAACTTTCTGATTCAGAATAATGCCTACCATTTCTTTGTATTTTTTGTAAAGACTTCCCTATGGCATCATAATTTTTTTTTTAATGCCAAAAAATAATTTTATGTCTGGTTTTCCCTTGGCCATCACACAAGCAAAAAACAAACAAACAACAACACAAAAATAGTGCACAGCGCCGTATACCCACATCCTGCAGGATGCTCATCTTAGTTCATGCTTGCTCCTCCTAGCAACTGACAGGCACGGCAGTTGGCCTAATCATCTTAACTTTTCCTCCCAAATATGCACAGTCCTCCTTTCCTCTCCGCAGTACTTGCTCATCACGCTCCATCGTTATGTACCCTAGGGGTTCTCAACTGGATTATCGGTGATTATAACAGTACTTTTTTGATCGCTCGCTATCGCATGTCAAGGTCAGGTAAAAAAAAACAACCCCGTCCAATAACAGCTGCAACAGCATGATGCTATTACTCATTCATTTAGAATAGTAGTTGGGAGTTGGCTCATTACTGGACAATAAATGAAATTCAGTGTTTATATTAATTTTAATAAGAAGCTTGAATGGCTCCCTGAGGTTTGGGTTATTCTACACTCACCGAAAAAGGTTGAGAATCCCAGGTTTATTGTTAGATCTCTTAACCCTTGGCATTATAAATTTGATCTGGAGATGATTTTTCTCCCTGGTGACCACTGTGTTAAATGATAGTTCTGCGGTTCGGTCTAACAGTAAATAGAAGTTTCTGCTTTGACGATGTTTCCTGTGAAGCCATTTTGATTCCTTTTTAGTTTGTTTTGATTGATTCCATTTCTGGTGGGAGGTGGTCCCCCCCTGCCGACTTGAATCGTGATTCTCACTTAGCTTTGGTAGTGGTAGTGCCGCGGGCTAGATGTATTGCTTTATGATTGTGTGTGTGGAGTGGTTGTGAACTGCTTATCACCACAGTAGTCATGAGTCTTCTACTTCTTGTGAGGACCTTGGCGTCCCATCCAATTGATCGTCATCTCTGCATGTCAGCGTGTCAGGGTAGGGGAATTCCCCCACCACCGCTTCGCTTCTCCGAGAGAGAGAGTTTGGTTTGGTTTGGTTTTGATTTTTTTTGTCAGTTTGGGCTTCAGGTGGCTTGTTTTGTTAAGTTTCCATCTTGTATTATGAACCCTCCCTCCTTATCTTTCTATCTCTCTTTCTCTTTCCTTACTCTGTCTCTCCATCTGTGCGTATTTGTTATGGATGCAAATAACATTTTTCCCCTCCCTTGTACGACATAAAAGCCATCATCTTGCAAAGGATGATTTATAATGAAACTAGGCACATTTTATAATTTTTATTGTACATTTTATATTAAACAACATATTGTCAAAGGAACCACTTTGCTGTTTGTTTCAATATTTTCATGTGTTTAAGTGAATATTCACTTTTTGTGTGTTGTGTTTGGGTGGTGGACAATAGAGAGAATAGAATAGAAGGTGCTTGGGTCCACTGATTATTGATTGCCATTTCTTCCTGCTTGTTGTAGAAGGCAAAAATGTCCACATGAAGAGCTGTGAGACAAAATGCATTTTCTCCCAAATCTATGCTTTCACCCCCCCCCCCCCCCCCATTGGATCGTAAGGGGAAAAGTTCCTCTCACTCTAGAGCTGTATGTCGTCACAAAACTTTTATTCAGCTACCAAGATTCAGCTTAGTGAATATTATTATCAGCCGTCTTTAAATTTTGCACTTTTTGGACTCAAAACATATGTGTACATTGTGGTGAAATCAGGCGCTCGTCAAAATAATGAAATCGAAGAAACCGGTATTTGTCAGGCAGTGTCACAAGTTTTATCAAATTTTTGTTTTTTGGACCAACACCATTTATGTCTAGATCTATTTTAAAACACTTTTCTGTGTGGATTTTACTGAAAAACTTTGGTTAAAGGTATGTACAAAAAATGTCAGTTTTCCGTTTCCAAAAGACTATGGAAGTCCCCATTCGTGGTGGCCAGTTTCTGACTAATTTTACCCCTCTCCTTCAAATTCAAGATGGATGGGTTGTTTTTTTCATCTCAAGCAAGACAAATAAACAAGCTTGAAGACGATGCCAATAACTCTACATGGCCAAAACCAGTGCCCGATTCCATCCCATCATGACACATTGTCACAACGCTCATATAGACCAACTTTTGTCTTGCTGTCAATGTGGGTTGAGGAACCAGCAGACAGAAGGCAGGATCTAGTGTGGACACCGGGGCACAAGCAGCAGGAAAGAAGAATCAAATAAGCGAGCAAATTCTGTCAAATATTTTTTCACAGTTTATTTACATTTTTAGTGTACAATGGCTTCTCTTTAAAACAGGACAGGTGATTCTACTCAATAAATATTTACACATACACAAACCAGCTAAAAATGCAACAATCAAATAACATTCACAACAAACTTTCGGCAACAATCCTTACTGAAGCTAATGAGTTTTAAAATAAAGCACTTCCTCACAATAACAATAATTTTGCACAGGGCACAAAAAAAAGGTCCTGAGAGAAGCAAGTGCTATCAGAAGCACTCTCCAGCCACCAGGGAGCCAATGCTGTGAGGTGTGAGTGTGAGGTGATGCAACATAACCAGCACCTCGCGACCTCAGTGCTTTCTAGTCGTATCTCCATTTTTTTAAGCATTGAAGATGTGACTTCTTCTTAAGCTCACTCTTTGTTACGAACTGTTTTCACTGTTATTAAAAATGGAGCTATAGGACAAGAAAGCTCTGAGGTCGCGACCTGGTCAGAACAGATGGAGTGAGAGCTTTACAGTACTTGCAACACATACAGATCACAGAGATCTAAGTGCCTTAGATTACAGACTAACAGCGACATACAAGATTAGAGAGTAACAGTAACAAACAAAGAAAAGAAGAGAGATAAAAACGATAGATATTTGACATGAAAGAAGGAGCAAACCATCTTAGACCAACTGCCAACCACCCACTAGGCTGAAACATTCAGTTAGGTTTAGTAGAGTTTTTACAGCGCTCGCAACTGCAAACGGTCATATGAGTGCCAAGGGGTGGATGTCAAAAGTCCCTACAGGGAATCAGGCTTACTGAAGTTACTCTGCTCACCTCTGTAGCTTCAACAGCACAAAGTCTGCAATGACTATAAAGGTACCCCGCAAATAGTGGGTCACAAGAGTGTGGTAAACATACAAAAGAAGTAGAGGAAAAATTACGATAGTAAGGATTAGGAAAGAAAAAGCAGCAGTTATGGGCATGACATTGATGAATCAGCCCATTTACAATTCTACAGAGCATAAGAACATGTTAAAGCCCCCCCCCCCCCAGTCAGTAGCACCGCCCCGGTGTGTTAAAACATTCATAACAGTCCAGTTTTACATGAAACCACTAGAACTGTACGGGGTAGGGACATTACGTACAAGTACCAAGATAATGCACATGCGACAAGGGGAAACAGAAAGCACTCACTCACAAACATGCACACGTAAACGGCCCCCAGTCACTTGTGAACACATGTACAGATCCCAAACATGCCCACACGTATCTCGTCTGTCCATAGCCACCCCCCCCCCCCTACACACACACACACACACAACTTCATTATCAGTCTGTCTCTCTGTCTCTCTCTCTCATGCACACACACTAACAGAACACACTTACAGCCCCCCTTCCCTGACACCACAAGCATTATGACAGTTCAACATCAATATTTGAACTCAACAACCACTGTGTCCATCACTAGTATTTCACTAATGACAAGAGTGAACTTCTTCTTCTAATGTCTTGTGACTCTACAAAGTTCTTACAGATTTTCATCTCACAATGGATAATTTTCACCATACAAATACAATGGGTGAATTTCACCTGACAATAGAAGATTATCAGCATACAATGGATGACTTTCATCTCACAATGAATAATTTCTACTTTACAACAGATGACTTTATCTAAAGAATATGGTGAAATGAAGCGTGCCGAGGTCTCCATAAAATGCCCTAAAAACAACAGTTGAATAAATATTGAGGGAAATTGGAGAGTGAAAAGCTCTAAGAAATTAACCAAACCTCTGGACCTTTTAAAATAACTGGGAAAAAAACAACTTCACAATGGCTTCACAACCCAAATGGTGAACAACAGAAAAAACTGATCAGTAGCACTGCCAGGTCCCTAGGAATCTAAGGGTGCCACTGAATTTAAAATTCAAAATGATCTTCAAAAACATTTTCACTCTTACAAGACAGTCGATTTCTCCCAATTTTGTATCTGCAGTCTGTATTACAGTGAGAACATTTCAATTACAGCGATATTCAGAGAGTTAAAAAAATCTTTTCCAAAGTGGAACCCCTATCTAATGTTATCCAAGGGTTTCCTCACATTCACTTCTCACTCCCAATTTGGATAGACGCTGACAGCCTCTCACAATATACCGGGGGCACTTTTTTTGACAAAAGTAAAATAAAACCCTACTGTGCATTCGCATAGTACAACAATAAAAACCCGCCATTTCCCCATTTTCTATATCTACACACTAGGTCCAGTACATTTGAAATTGAGATTTGGGGAGGGGGGGGGGGAGCAACTTTTCTTTTATCTTTACCCTTTTTACCACTACGATTTTTTGAATATGCATCAAGTTGCACAAACACTGAAGGCTCTCACAGAGTATAAATATGATGAGTGTGTGTGTGTGCGTGTATGAGTGCGCGTATACATATGTGTGTTGTGTGCCCTTGTCCTCTACTTGAGTTCCTGAATCTTCTGTCTGATGGCTGCCTGCCTGAGCTCCTTGTCCCTGTCTTCCTTCTCCACCTCCTTCTTGACCCGCTGCCACTTCTGCACCATGGAGCTCATGTGCTTCTTCTTCATCATGCCACTGGAGCCTGCAGCCGACGACTTCTGTCAAAGTCAAAGGACAAACCAAACTTGTTAATAAAACACATTTGAACTTATAGTGATCAAACTACCGTTTTCAAGTCTTGTATCCACACGACTTTCCCACCAGAAAGGAAAAAAACCTGCAAATCCCTCAGTCCCTGCACACTGTACAGCTCTCATCATGAAAAACTCCATCAGTTTCTCCACACACAAAAAAAAAATACAAGACCAGAGAGCAAGAGTTCTTTCTACCATCAGCCACAGATCTCTAACTCCTTTTACAAAACAAAGAAATATTTCAAATACAACAGACTTTTGTGAACACTGTAAAACAAAATTACAGTAACCGTTAAAGAATTTCAAATTTTTTCGATTTATTTTATGCATTGAAACTTAACGCAAAGAAATTCTATGGTTCCATTAAGTTTGTGTCATCAGGATTTTGGCACACTCTACCCCATTGCATCACACGGGATAAATAGCTCAGCACATTCGCTAAGATCAGGAACAACATCTTCACCGAGAGATAATTCTAACAGGACTTCGCAAAAAACCCCACAGGAAAGTGGTGGTTATATCTCATAGTGCACGGACAGAGCATTGTTCATACACATGGCTCTGATTGATTATTGAGCAAAAGAATCAGCACTTTGAAAAGATGAAGCTACATCATTTATAAAAGCTTCCGTAACTGAAAAAAAAATTGACAAACAAAAGGAATATAACAAATTACAAATGTTGTGACAAGCATCTGCCCATTTCAAATAATAAAACAAACCATGACCTGCAATTAATTTCAAGCAAATTACCAACCATCAATAAAAAAGGCATTCTTCTGTTTGTTTTAGTTTTAGAAGAGGTTTTACGGGGCTCGCAACTGCAGAGGTGCCAACAACAGAAAACCGAAATGAGTATTGGGAAATATGAAAATGAGTATTTTCAGGGGAAAATGTATATTCCCCATGACTGACCCACCGACCAACCAGTAATAGTAAAATGTCCAGGGTGTCCAGCAATATTTCCTGAAAAAAAATTACTAGCTCACCAGGTCAAAAAAGGGAGCACACATGCGTACAATATATACATGTATCCAGTCAACTTCATGTCAGTGTTCAATGTTGTACTGGGGTCTTGTTTGACTTAAGTATTTCAGTCTATTGTATAATATTTTCCTCTCATTATTATATAAAAAATAAATCCTGCTTTGAGAGTTCGGAAGGGCCTAGAACAAGAATTTCGCCTATCAAGAACCAGTCTGGGTGTCATGATTCATATTATTATGAACTGACAGACTCAAATTATTGCTCAAACTCAGAGAAAAGCAATAACTTGTATGGCTCAAGTAGACCCATGCACGGTGAGAGTAGTAACAACTGTGGTAGGGCAAGATGCAGTGACACTGAAAATCTGCTAGTCTTGAACAGAAAGCTACAACATACACTGTAGGTATAATTTACTATCACCCATCCAAGTAGATGTAGGTATAATTTACTATCACCCATCCAAGTAGATGTAGGTATAATTTACTATCACCCATCCAAGTAGATGTAGGTATAATTTACAATCCCCCATCCAAGTAGGTATAATTACTTTCACCCATCCAATGAAACGCGAACACTTTATTTCAATAACACCGACTTGCAAAGTATGAGGAGTCCCGATTCCGCACACAGCCTGCACCAATGCGCGCTTTGCAGAAAGCTCTAATCAAAATTCTGAAATGTGCTCCCAAGTTTTTGTCCTCTGGTGTTGCCTTTACCTTTTCTTTCTTCTTCTTCTTGATCTGCTTCTCTGCGTCTGCCTCCTGCTGTGAAGGGTTTGTCTCCGTCGTCGAGGCGCCAGGTTGGCTCGTCACAGCTGGTGCCGAGGGCAAAGGTGGTGCCGAGTAAAGCTCAGGCTGTTGCAGGGACAGGACAGAATATTGTTGTTGTCAAGTTGCACATAATTTACAACGAGCAAGTACAACAATAACCATATACCACTACAAACAGATGAAGAAATTACATTAACAATGAAAAGAAGTAGAGGAAACAGACCATACTAGAGTGCCAACCAAACACTGACACAAGAGAGAAGATATTTATTTGTACAAATAACGAAGAAACATATTGTCACAAGAATAATAATCATATTAATGTTGGTATAAAACCCTGGACCCTCTTCTATATATAACAACATTGTTCAACTCTAATAACATAATCATTGTTCATAGTTTAGGATTGTGTTGTATTCTTCATAATTTAGGATAGCGTTAAGCTCAAACAGCAAATTTATTCTAGATAATGTGGTGTTTCTTTAAGCTCAAACAGCAGTAACTATTTCACATGATTTAGAAATGCATTCAGCTCTGTTCCACCCATTCTACAAGTACATTTAGCAGAGTTTTGTTTTGTTTTTGTAAGTGTTTTACGGCGCTCGCAACTGCATAAGGTCATATGAGCGCGCGGGTTTAGCAGAGTGTAGAATTCAAAGCTCAAACAAGACAAAAGAGCTTACGGGCTGCATGGCCACTACGTGTGGGGGAATGATGATCTGGGGAGGTCGTGAGATCACGGCCGAATTCTCCTCCTCTGCCTCCTTTTCCTCCTTCTTCTCCCCGCCCTCCTCCTCCATCGCCTCACCATCGATACCATCACCGAGCCCAGCATCAGCCTCTGGGTCCTTGACCTCAGAGCCGGTTGTCTCCAGCTGGAGCTCTGGCGGGTTCTCCCCCTCCTCTGAGTGAGGTGGGGCTGGGATAGGTGGCGGGCTGGGCAGCGGGCTCACTCCAAGCTCTAAGCCAGATGCGGTCAGGTCTGGGGGCAGTGGAGATGCCCGGGAGCTTCCGGCCTGTGGAGAGCCACTCCCATCTCTCACCTGCACACAGGAAGAAAAATGAAAAAATTCTGTCACCTTCATATTCTTTCTTTCTTTTTCTCTTTTTTTTCTCTCTCTCTTTCCCTCAACTCAAAACTCCAAAACACAAGCAAACTGAAGTGGTCTTCTAACATCCTACACTCCAGCCACCACACCTCATAGTCTGCCAACACCTTATCACAAATCATCACACCACATATTATATTAAAATAAATAGGAATTTGTTGATATTTACTACAGTGTGTGCTGGGTATAGCATCCTAGACAACAGTCAAAACACACCACATATCAACATAACATCGCCTCAGAACTATCTTGGCCAAAGTGTACTATACCCTATCTGTACACCCTGGGGTAATTTTGTATCCCCCCGGGTTGTATTCTTCACATTTTAAAATACTTCTAGTACGAAGATCTCTTTGAAACTTTCCGTATTTCCAAAAAAAAAATTATTTTGACAGACTGCTACGCAAAGCGTACGGATCGGATTAACGAGTAAATTTCCTCTTTGGAAAGTGGAGGCACAGAGTTCCGTACATCGTATGGATACAAAAGTAAAACATCACGTACGGATAGGTTTAAGTAAAGTGGCACTTTGGACAATATAGTTCTGGTGTGACGATATCTTGTAAAGATTTGATGCAAATTTCTCCAGAGTGCATTGGGTATAACATTCTGGATGACAGTCAAAACACACTACACATCATCATATCTCGTAAGGATTTGATGAAATTTTCTACAATGGGCGCTAAATATAATACCCTAGACACCAGCCAAAACACACAACAACTGGGCATCCTACCTCCAGTACATCCGGATCGTCCAGAATTTCCACACTGGGAGATCTGACCTCTGACCTCTGCCGCTTCTTCCGCTTGCTCTTGTGCTGGCGTCTGGGGGTGGCCGTCGCGTCTGCCGCGCTCCCCTCGCTGCTGCTGCTGTGGTCTCTACGGCGCCGGCGTTTGCGCCTGTGTCGGTGGGAGCTGCTGTGCTTGTCGTACTTGCCTAAACATGGGGGAGAGACTTCATCTAAGACTTTTTTTATATAATACAATTGCCTAAGCATCTCTGTCAAGATACAACTGCCTAAGCCAGGGGGTCACCAAAATGTTCAAAGTGGGCTGGATAACAAAGAATGCCTGTTCAGGCCTGATTACTATTTTGATCAATTCTATCCACCGACATTTTAAATGAAAGTTTGTCACATTAGAGCCGAGGAAGAGTATGACACATTAGCAAGACCACATGAAGTCTATAAAAAGAAGCATGTTTAGTTTGCACTGTAGAGTTCAATGAACTTTTGGAGACCAAGTTTTTTGCCCTCATGGTTGAGGCCCAGACGAACTAACCTTGAGGGCAATATTTGACCAGTGCACTGTTTGGTATCCCCTGGCTTAAGGAATAAGTCTATCTCAGCTAATAACACTCCCAAGGAGCTTATATTGGGTGTGGACGATTATATGGCAATGGAGATTAGTTACCAATCGCGAAAATTTTTTTTTACTGATTCCGTTGCCATGAAAACTGCAGCCACTTTGGAGTTTAGAGACATAACGTGGTACCATTTTCTCACCTTATTCATAAACAGATTAGGTTCATATTTAGCATACACACTTATAAGGCAAAAATCGCACTGCCTGTAAGAGTAATTTTTTATATCTGGTTTAGTTTTTATTTTGTGGCACTTTCAAATCTGGCTCTAGCGAAATAAGTGTAAAAACTTGAAAAACCTAGCTTTTTAAGTTCACAGATTAAGAACCAATGTCATAAAAAAAATTTGTGTGAGTAAAATAAAGTGCTTACTAAAAACAACACTATGGCTTGAGCAAAAGTTTTTTTTTAAAAGTCTGAATAAATAGATTTCTAGTACATGAAACAAAGCTTGACTGTATTGAGGGTACATTTTTACCTCACTAATAACCTGAGCCAAAAAAATTATATAGGCACTCATGTTTTGACCACAATGACGGTTAACACAGTACATGAACATTATAGTTGATGCCTCAATAAACAAACTACTACTAGCTAACTGACACGCAGTACATAAACGTCAAACGTATGTGTCAGATGCCAACACATAAAAAGGTAAAGTAAAAAAACCAACAACAATGATCTGTTTCTTGTAAGGTGGGGATCACCAGAGAATGATGGTACAGATGTGTCACTTATTACTCAAACTCAACTGAGACGCTGCCAAAAATCATCCTATTGTACCTTATCTCATCCTTCATCTTATCACTCACTCCTCATCCTTCATCTTATCACTCACTTCTCTCCTTCTCCTCTCGCTTCCTGTGGCGGCCGCTGCTGCTCCGGCTCTTGCGATCCTCCACCTCCGAGGCATCTCGCGACCTGTTCTCATTGGTCGAGGCTTTCCTGCCGCTCTCCTTCTCCTTGACCTCCTCCTTGTCGTCCTTGACTTCGGGGTACTCCCACTGGATGCGGCCGGTGACCTTGTGGCGGTAGTAGTAGCGGTTGTTGGCTCTACGATCCGGGGGAGAGAAGAAACGGTGCAGGAGGTGACGCACGGACCAAGTCATGACGGTGGAGATAGGGAGGGGAGGGGGATAGAGTAAGAGGAAAGGGGGTGAGAAGTTGGGGAGGGGGGGGGGGATGAACAGTCGGAGGGAGGGAGAGGGGGAAGGAGCAGTACGGGAAGGAGCAAAAGGTATTTTGAGCAGGTTACATCAACTAAAACGTACAAAATAACAAACAAAATCTAAAAACATTTGGCTGTGCAAACAACTGCAGCACTTTGTTCCAACATCATACCTGACCTACACAACACACGCACACGGGCACAGCCAGCAGCTCGTAGTCCACTCTTTCAGTGCTTCACAAACAACTTCCTACCCGCTGCCAGACCACTTGACTCTGCCAAAACAAACCTCTGGGAAAATCCTCCAACTTCAAAAATACACCTCTTGTGCAACAGGTCATTGATCTTTGATCTTATCTCAACATCTAATAACAACGTCTTTTATCTTCTCCTGCGTCCTGTCTTTTAGAACCACCAGCATCATGTCCTCTTCGCCAAAAACACCTAGCCTTTTAATTGACATCAAAGGCTAGACATTTTACAGTTTGCGCAAGACGTCCGACTGCTTAATAAAATCCTACCAGCTTGAGAGGAGACTGGATTAGACTGTCTGGTTTGACAAACATCACGATATTTTGAGAAAACTGCAATGACAAAATATTCATGTTTCACAGAAAACATAGTTACACTAGACCCCATCACTGCAGCCTTAAAGAGAAACAAACACACACAACTTTCCTTCGACAGTCACAAGGTCCAGTTGACTGAAAACACGACCAAAGAGAAAGAGATACCCACACAACTAAGACTAAGACAAAGACAATTCAAAAAGAGACACCTTGCTGCTTTTTTCATATGTGATTAAACACACCATATCTTTACCACAACTGAAGACATCAGTTTGTGGAAATAAAATGCATTTGCAGTATTTCTATACGCCTCCTTTGGGCTCAAGACAATCTTCCTCAGCCCAATCAAAATTGTCCAACGAAGTGACTTGAGACCCATAAAAGTTACAAAATAATAGCAATAAGTCAGGGGTGTTACAAAGATGAATCTGGCTACAGAAATTTCCACTAGACTTTTACAAAAACGTTTTGCTCATCATAAAGAATGAACGCTGTTAAACTTGAATTTCAGTAAAAAAAAAAAAAACTCCAAAAAGCCTTGAGGCGTCTAAGGATTTTGAAAAACCTTCCGAAAAAGCAGGAGTCAAAAGACAGTCTACTGTTTCAACAGAAAACCCATTCAATCAGCTCATGACCAGGTGAACACGGACAACGATGTACTGATGTGTGACACACAAAGGACTCAAGTCCACCAGCAGTTGGAGTTTGTCCAGCCACCCACACCAGAAACACTCAATGATCAGAATAGCAAAGACCAAAAGTGTACAGAGTCTGAGAACGCAAGTGTTATACTCTTAGCTTCTTCCTTCTTCTTCCTTGTTTTCGATGACAGCAGCTAGACAGTCAGTCCGATGTCGCGCACAAACAGTGCAGTCCGCTTCAAATCTGAGAGACTGCCATAGAGCTTTCTCTCAAGAGGAGTCACATTTTGCCATTCTCAATGATCAGAACAGCAAAGACCAAAAGTACACAGAGTCTGAGAATGCAAGTGTTATACTCTTATCAAAATCCTACTCCTCTCACAGTAGCTTTCATTTTGACCTCATTTCCCATCAAGAGGAGCAAGAGGCCGAATTGTTTACACCTAGCAAGCTTTTTCAGAATTTTGTTTAAGTTCAATCAAAGCATCTCAGAACATTCTCCGCAGAACAAAGAGCTTCTCTTCACTTCTGGCAGCTTCAGCATCTGAAAAAAAGACGCATCTGAAAAGACATTAGTATAGAGCTCTTAAAACTCTCCACAAAACAGTTTCTTGTTGATCACTTCTAATAAATATACTACTCTAACAGATCCCTGCTGTCACTGTTCAAACTTATTTCCTTACAATCTTAAGGATCTATTCTTTTGGCTTACAAAAATATACAAACAGAGCTTCTTTACTTCCCTTCTGCAACCAAAACTGTCATTGAAATCATTTAGTTCCCATAGTTGTACTCCATTCCAACCATCCGATCTGAGGCTATTTTACACTTTGCCAGGTAGAGATCTACCCATAATCGCCTATATTCCCACTTTTAACAAGACTAGTTCCCCAGCTGTTGATTTTTTTTTTTAAGTTCGTTTCATATATGTTGTACGCTTAACGGCAACAGAGGATGAAAAAGAAAAAAAAAGTACAAAAATTGACCTTAATCATTGCTACAACAACCCCCCGCCCTAATTCACAAGAGTCCAGACATACTGACAGTTAAAAAAGTAAAAGAAGTACTTACTTCCAGAAATTGTGAACATTTCACCTTGCACCAACACTGGTTGGAAGTTTCTCCAACTTTACTTTAAAGTCTCCGGGCTCATCTCCCAGTGACTTTGGCTTCCACTTAGAGAATCTGCCAGCGGAGGCAGCTGCCTCGTCTTCTTCCATTGTCCGCCACGCGCACACATCAGCGTCAGGTGTTTGTTCATGTATTGTCATTGTCATGATCATTTCATATAACAAAGTCACAGTGTGGCTAGAAACACAAAATCACAGTGCTGATACTTTTTGTGACCACGGCATGATGGACCAGGCTCATTTATCACTTCTGGTACCCCCTATCCCCCACCCACCCCCTCCCTCTTTTCTGTCTTTCACTTTCAGTTATCTTTCAAAAGCAATTTCAAGTGTGTAAACTGTCACAAAAATCTCCTTCATGAAAATGAAAATCCTCACTTATAATATCTGATATTCTATTCTTTGATAATGTGAAGACCGCATCCGAACCGAACTGACGCTATCTGATACATTAATTTTTTTTTAAAGCCATTAAAAACCCACCTACACATGATACCCTCTTCTCCTCACAGTAATATCTTACAAAACTTTAGACAGAAGAATTCACTAAAGCATTAATTAGGAACAGCTGCAGCGGTCAGTTTGGTTGAATCAATCTGTTTACAACTCTTGTTGTTATTACTTCAGTGGAGCCAAGGGAAAGCTAATAACATTCTGTCTACATGGGTCAGAACTTTTCACCTCTCTCAGTTTTGGGACCATAGAATGAGCAGAAAGTGATATATTTGTTACTTGACCATGGCACAGAAATCTGACCTTCCAAGAAATCACATCTTCCTCCAAATTTCAAACCATTTTCAGAGACTACTCTCAAATCTCAAAGAGGAAATTACTACTGTAATTGGCGTTGTGATAACTTTTCCACGGTCCTTGCGATACTAACACACTTCGTTTTTCACCCTTTAATTCAAGCTACTTTTTAAAACCACCTTAAAACAGCCATCAACTTTCAAGACCTAACGCTATCATCCGAAACTCCTGTATATTTTCAGCCATACATGAAACCATCTTAACCACCATCCTACATCATAAGCCGGGTCCATACATGCTGAGGCACGACACAAAGAGGAAAAAAAAAGGAACCCAATCCGGGAAAAACTACGTTCTCCGATCACCAAATAACGATTCGGAGAGGGTGCTATTGTAGCTGACATTGCTGCTGTTGCTACTAGTACTACTATTGTTGTTGTTGTTGTTGTTGTGGTGCTTGCAGCATGTTTGAGTTGGGTTGCCGTGCTAGGCCTATGACACAAGAGAAGATGGAGCCGGGGCGGCCGTACCTGTCCCACTGACACGCCCAGCCCTCGGGCACCGCGCTCAGCTCGTACTGCTGCAGGAGACCCTCGGCCACCACCAGCTGCTGACGAAAGTACTGGCTCGACAGCCCGCCCGCACCCCAGTCTGTCAGCCGCGTCTAAAGGGAAGGAGGAAGAGAAGAGAACAAACAAGTTTTATTTATTGGCTGGTTCGTGTTCTTTCGGTATAGAGAAACAAGTTGCACCCCCACCCCTCAACCATCTGCAATAAATCTTTAAAATTTACTAATGGATGTAGATGATTATTTCAGAGTTACAATGAAAACACAGTATGAATTATATCTTTTTAACGCAACATAAAAGTTTTGCAAAAAGGTTACTGGGTTGCTAAGAAGGTCTTCTTGTTTATATTGAACAAATATAACCTTAGTTCATACAACTTCAACTATTTTGATTCAACATAATATCATTAACCACAACAGAGTACAAATTTTTAAAAACTGATTTATCTTTGGTTTACTGTAAAATGTTTTCATTCCCTACTGATTTGGCAAAAACTCACAAAAACAATAGTTTCTACTTAATGTAGGGTCAGCATTCACCATACAAACCAAGAGCCGCCTTGTCAATTACCTGCAATTCGATAAACAAGATTTGCAGACGCGACAGGTTGTCTGTGCCGATGTCCAGAAACTCCAGCTTGTTCAGAGCCAGCTCTGCCATCTCCTTTATCTCAGTCTGGCGGGAAAAAACCCCAAAACGCACTAATTTATGAGTTGAAATAAAGCATGAACTTTGAACTTCAACACACATAAACATATGAGTCAAAATAAAAAAACGAATAAATGTACGTGTCAAAATAAAATGCATGAATGTAGATGTTAAAAATAAAACACATGAGTGTGCAGGTAATAAAAAATATAAACTCAATTTTCATAAAGAAAAGATAAAATCATAGATTTATGCAAAACTGATCTGCTGGGCAGAAGCAGTAGATGAAAAAAGAGCCCACATCAATCACTCACAGAAAGAACAACAAACAAATGTACCAATAACGTATTCCACTTATGATCATAATGTGAATAGGAAAGAAAGCAATTGCATGGCAAAACCAGAAAAACATACTTTTAAAAGTGGTAACTTGGGTTATAATTTATCATAAAAATTGAATGCTTCAATCAACACAACTCAGGCTACATATAGGTAGCGTAAACACGGCATCGCAGGGCGTGGTATCGGTAAAATCGGGGTAATTCCGATCGCTGTTTCTTTGTTCTTTCGCTATAAAACACCAAATGCCGTACACCTTGTAAAAGTTCATCTTTTCCTCGTTACAATGGTGTAAGTTGTTTATATGTCCGATTATTAGGAGCTGGAGAATCGCTGAGGAAAGCGAAGCCCCTCGGGGTCGGAATGCGTGGTCGGCCGGGTGAAAAATTGACACGCATGCATTCAAATGCTTCGCGGAATGAGGGATGATTAAATACCGTCTTTTCATTGGCGGAGAACTGTAGAGCTTTAAACGGGCTTTCCCGTGATATAAGTTTAGCCTTTGGCGTCTTTATAGAAAGCTTTTAAAAATACCGTCAAAATGTTTAAAGATCACTTTTTACACAAAATATGTAAAATACCGGCTTATAAAAAGTATTAATTTAAAGATCAGTTCATATCCTATTAGAATAAAGTAATTAAATTGGAATTATTTTACATCAATCCTTCCGAGAGACTCAGAAAGCATGTGACCCCGCATCCGTGGTACACTACAGTATAAGCCGACTCGCTCGCCGCGGGGCCCGGTGCAGCACCGGCCGGGTCAACGCTCGGTGTTTTTGTCGAAGTAACGACAGATCATCGTGTTTGAAGTGATAAAATACTGATTTGTAAAGATCTCACAGTCTTGAGAAAAAATTATGCTCCATATATTTGTTATAGTGATTGTACTCTGTTAATGTGGAGATGTTTAGTGGACTTGTTACTTTTTTATTGTCTGTCAAACATGGGGTTGCAGCCAGTGACTGACTTTAACAAATTTGATCAAATTTTAAACAACTACAATTTTCTTAAAAATTGACGGAGAGGTTAAAGAATGGTACCAAAATGCTCAGTGGATATAGGCCTTTCAAATGGAACAGATACATTTGGCATACAGCTTGTTTGAAAATTTAGTTTCTGGTACCTACTACATAAAGGGCAAATGCTATGACGCTGTCATCCAGGGTTGACCCCCCGCTGCATAAACTACATCTTTGAAGAAATACAGAAGGAAATACTGAGTTCTGTTTTCATGTGGGGAAGACATATTAAAGAGTATTTTCGCCTCTATGTCAGCAAGAATAGAAAAGAAGTAGGATCTACAGTCCGTGCTGGCTATAAGCACGCCGGCCTTAAGCACGTTTCGGACTCAAACACGCTAAACGGCTCTTACCGAATTTTTGCTATATAAATTACACGCCTATAAGCACGGTAACTTCGGCTTCAAGCATGCTTCATTTACAAGACAGTCAATATTTTCATGATGACCCATCGAAGTTTGAACACAGTTTACACCGCAGCAGTGGAGTGTGTCAAGAAAAACACAAAGAACGCAAGTGATGGACACACACACTCACACGGGCGGAGAGGAAGGCAGAGAGATGCACACAGCCGTGCGCGCGGACATAGGATCTAGCCTAGGCCTAGGGCAAAGCTACACATGACCCAAAAAAAATTTAAAAATACAAAGAGAGTCGGGGAGACGAGAAAAGGAGGCTGGCTGAGATTTTACCTTTGACCCTCGCTATCCATTAATCCTGATTGTGTATCACGCGCGAGGTGGGATGAAGGCAGTGGTATGAGTGGCACAGCGGGCAGTGGTACGCACAGGCAGTGTGTTACAGTAGGCCTAGTGTGCTGTATCGTGACTGGCCGTCTAAATTAAGTTTTCATTTCCCATTCGACCACAAAACAAAAACGAACAAGCGAACAAAAACTACCATGGCGGGTGTCTAAATAACAGTGCACACTTTTGCGGGACCGCTATAGGCCTACTTACAAACAAAGGGAAATAGCACGTGGAATTTTCTACATGAAAATCTCTGGATTATGTCTACTTCGCACTTGAGCACGCTTCGACTTTAAGCATGCTAAAGCTTTCTCCCGATGACCGTGCTTAAAGCCGGCATGGACTGTACCAGTAGCGCCCTCCTACCATCCACATAAACTGATGTTAAAAAAAAGTAATAAGCAAAAGTAAAACATAACAAAACAAAGAGCACATGAGGCACCATACACTTCTTACAAAAGGTAGCACCCGTAGCATGACACGTCACACTCAGTGACCACACATACCTTCAGGTTTTCTTCCTCTGCCTCAGCTCCTGTCTTCGAGTCTCCATCCCCTTTAGAGTCAACATCCTTAGCTGAAAAAAACAAAAACAAGCAGAAAGTCAGACAGAAATTCAGAGAAGCAGATTTGCAGATCACAGGAAGTCTACTTCCCCAAGAACAGCTAAGATTACTCAGAAGCAAAAATCTAAGCTGAAAAAGGGTCATAAACAGCTGTCAATATTCAAAGCAGCCACCCACCACACATACATCGCAACCTCAGTGCTCTCTTGTCGTATCTCTATTTTTAATAACAGTGAAAACAGTTCATAACAAAGAGTGAGCTTAAGAAGAAGTCACATTTTTACTGCTAAAAAAATGGATATGCAACAAGAAGGCACTGGGGTCGCAACATGTGTATTTGAAATCTCGGTGAACCTGTGTAAGGAAGTTTCCAGTAGCACCCCTGAACAGATAGCTTAGATCTTTAGAAACACTTGGTACAGCCAATGTTACAGACTATTAATACGTCAATGTCCATCCAAGCATGCAGAAAATCCTTTTTGAAGTGCTATTGAATTATCTTTTTAAAAAGTTTTTTTTCTGCCATTGCCATTCTTCTATTCTACAGACTCTAACAGGGTAAGGATAAACCAGTTTTGCTGTTTTCAGAGAACACATTCTACATAAACACTGGTTTCGGGTTGTTTGGGTATAATTCTATAATTCTCATTCAGTGTACCGTCGTTTGATCATTACAAGTAGACATGAGACATTATTATTGGCAGTCAGACTGAGTCTTGAGACCACGGCAACAACATCATAATCAGATACAGCATCACATTTCAAGCTACTCTATGCTCAATCAAACAGACAATCTAATCTCATCGCATCTGTAAGACTTCACTACCTAAAGCATCACCAGCTTACCTGTCTCTGTGACAAGCTGGGCTCCATTCCCATTGGCCAATTTCACATCCACACTTGCAACATCATGAGTTTGAAGCTCCACCTGCAACATATATCACACACTTTTTTAAAACAAAACAGACACAGGTTGATGAAAAAAAAAAAAAGGTATAGATTATTGAGACCAGAAAAGGCAAGACGTTAGACATATTATATATACAACATATGGAAAGAGAAGATTCTACGACTATCCCATTATCAGCAGTGGTGTCTAGCTGTTCTGTCACATTGCCAGTTAGAGCAACCCTTTTATCACCAAGAAATCCCTCAAAACTATAATTAAGCTGAGCCTTAAAAAAGTAATTAAATCCTGTCCGTACGTCGTGTTTTACTATCGTATCCATATGATGTGGGGAACTCTGTGCAACCACTTTCCAAAGAGGAAATTTACTTGTTAATCCGATCCGTACGCTTTGCATAGCAGTCTGTCAAAATTATTTTTTGAGAAATACTGAAAGTTTCAAAGAGATCTTCGTACTAGAAGTATTCTAAAATGTCAAGAATACAACCACGGGGGTACAAAAAGACCCCAGGGTGTACGGATAGAGTTAAATGTCCAAAGAGTCTCCCATGTTCCTGATTATAGAGTTTAAAAAAGGACTTCTTCTGGTAAACCCTTACCAAGTGGGGGCTTGGCGTGTGCTCTGGTTGGTGTGCTCCTGCTTCCCTATCAAACATCTATTGTCTTTATCTTTCCACCTTTTTTTTCTTTGTATGTTACCATAAAACTCTCTAACTAAAACCATAACTATTCCCTTTGAAACAAACCACATGGGCTCACCTTTTTCCGCTCCAGTTTCTTCTCCAGGGCCAGCTCAAGGGCACGGTCAATGTCGTCAAGGTCATCCGGGTCAATATCCTCAGTGACCAATGCCATATCATTGCCACTACCACTCTGCTGCTCTGGGCAAGGGACCTCCTCTTTCCCTTTCTCCTTAAGTTTTTTCTCCTCAACTATTTCCTGGTGCTCTGAAGGAGGTTTTACGATTTTCTCGAGGTCAACAGACGGCTTCTCTGCCTTTACATCTAATTTTCTCTTTTTCGATTCTTTCTTTTTCTCTTTCTTCCTCCGCTTTGACCTCTCTCCATCACTCTCCTTCAGTTCTCCCTCCTCCTCCTCGTCAGTACCCCCATAAGATGCTACAATGCTGAAAGACTTGGAGGATTTATTCCCACCACTGCTGCTGGCCATGGGCTTGTCTTTCGGTTTATCCGACTTCCTTGAGGAAAGTTTCTCTTGCTTGGGCAGTGAACTATTTGAGACCACCTTGGCTGCAGCCTTTTCCTTCTCAACACTGCTGACGTTCTCCAACCCTTCCGAAATCTCTCCTTCCTCCATAGACTCCATCTTGACAGCGTCTTTGGCATCTTTTTCAAGCTCCACAGATTTCACTTCCAGCTTGGCCGTTGCAACTGCTTCATCATCGGACAGCGCGGGTTTCGGTGAAACAATAGAGGGGAAGTCTTCTGCAAACATATCCAACTCTTCCTTCTTTTTTCGAGATTTTTTCGTGCGGTCCTTTTCAGAACTATCTGCAGAAGATGTTGTCACTTGCTCCAACTTAACATCATCCTCCTGACATTTCCCCTCAGCATCCTGCTTCGGCAAAACGGCGGCTGACAAGCCTTCCTCACAGCTCTCCACATTTGGCAAAGGAGGACCTGACTCCTCCACCTTGATCTCTGAACTCGAGCTTTCGTCCTTCGGCAATAAGCTGACACTGGAAGAGGAAGGGGCAGCGAACCCTTCACTCTGATCACTATCCCCGTCTTCTGTGACTGCTACACACTGCGCTTGATTGGACACATCATTGGCTTCTTCGCCAGCACTAGCAGTAACATCAGGCTCCTTCACGCCAACCTCCGCCAGTAACTCGGGAGGAAGATCTGGTGCACTGTGATCATCATTCTCACCATCATCATCAGTCCCTCCGGCATCTTTCTCCTTCACCAGTTGTTCCCCTTGAGCCATGTCTTCGGGATCCTCTCGAACTTCACTGACAGAACCTAACACAGGCATGGACGGCTCAACTTCTTCCTTCTCCACCTTCCCGCTGTCACTCGGGCTCGACTTCCTACTGTCCACTTCGGGACCTCCGAGCTCCGGCATCGACTTGACCCCATTATCCTCTTCATCCTCGTTGTCGTCGTCTTCCTGGTCCGATAGATACGGCACGATGCTAGGTAAGCTGGGACCTATCACAGCGGGAGGAGCTGTGGGCCCTTCCGGAGGTCCGATGTCAGGCATATGAGGTGAGTGTCTCCCCTTTCCCCCTTCATCTGAAGAATAACCCTCATTACGTCGATGTTTGTGCTTTTTCGACTTGTGGCTTTTCTTCTTCTTTTCATGTTTGTGTCTACTGTGAGAGGAGGAAGACGAAATGGAAACAGGGAGGGATTCTTGCTTTGAGGTAGAAACCTGAGTGTCGAGATTTTTACTGCTCTGTGCCTCCACAGCTGAATGTGTCAGAGCCCCTGTGCTACCTGTACCGTTGACTTTACTGTATTTGCTGGAGAGAATAAAGAATGCAGAAAGAAAAAAAAATTATTTTGAAGTTTGGCTTACTAACCTTTGACAAATTTACATCAGATAGACTCAAATACTAATACACGGCAAGTAAGTGTGATAGCAGGCATATGTGAAGCAGTGAGGTGAAATCAGGCGCTCGTCAAAATAATGAAAGTCAAGAAATTGTCATTTCTCCGCAGGTTTGGGAATTCTTATCGAATTTTTGTTTTTTCGTTCAACACCCTTCATGCCCATTAAAGAGCACATTTCTGTGTGGATTCTACTGAAAAACATTGATTAAAGGCAGAAAAAATGTAATTTTTCAGTTTCCACGGACTCTCAAGCTAAAGAAATAACTCAACTTAAGCGGCCGTTTCTCACTTATTTTACCTCTGAATCAGACAGACGACCCTCACCTCCTTCAATCACACATATCTCGACTTCTATTCAACATAGATGGATATCACTTTCCCCCAAAACAAAGAATATGGACTGGCCCAACTCCGTATGCCCGAAAATTGACGAGAGCCTGATTCCACCGCGATGTGCCACATATTTTGACTTGAGTGACAAGGTAGAAGGTCAAGATTCAAATATTGACTAGAAACAAAGACAACATTTTTCTGCCCATAGACCTCTTTAATAACATTTTAGGCTCTGAAGCTTCACTTTGACCTGACTGAAACCTAACCAAAATCCAGTACAAATTTGGAAGTAAAAATGAAAACATAACTTTAACTATCTTTTCCCCATGCAAGCTTTGTTGTATTCAGTTCAGCTCTCCTTCATAATGACATCTTTACCTAGAGTCTGGCCAGGCCAAAAAATAAACCAGTCAAAACCTTACAGGCTGGTTTTACTTTGAACCAAGAAAAACGTATCAACAAAATGATGGTCATTTAACAAAATTAAAAGGCAATACTAAATGACAGAAACAACAGACACAGAGCCAAGACGCAGGACCAACCAGTAACTCCCTTCAACCATCAACCCAACCGCCAGACATGCCCCCCCTCCCCCCTTCAAAATGACCTTTTTGAGTCTAGCAGAGTGTTTGTCGACCTGCATATGTAAAGAGAAATCCACAATGAAATAAAAATAGTCATTCAGAGCAGGAGAAAGCAAGACACACAGACACAAACAACAAAGGAGGGAAAGAAAAGAAGTAGAACCCATCAGTGACCATCTGAATGCCTTAAACACCTGCCTTCAAAATGACCGTCTAGTAGGGTGTCAAATTATGGTCGCTTTTATGGACAAGCGGGCCAACCCAGATTTTGGGGGGTTTCCAGAAATCTTGACCCACACCAAAAGTGGGAATTACCCTACCGTAGGAGAAGTTTGGTGTCATTGGGGTGTATATTTATTTGGTTATAGCGAAAACTCTTTTTGTCTTTTGTTTTCTCAAAACAACATTTTTTGGGATAGCCCCCTTGTGCTTCAAAGCGACCAAATCTACTATTACCATACACCCAAAGACTTTCCAAGAGACACAGACCTGGCCTGCTTTTCCTTGAGTCTCTGCAGCTGCTCGGCGCTGTACTTGGCGATGCGCTCCTGGTACTCTCGCTGCAGCAGGAGGAACTGGGTGTACTCCGTGGGGATCTCCCAGGTCACCTCGTTGGTCACCGTGTTCCAGTAGTAGTAATACTGAGAGGTCTCGTCTTGCACCATCTGCCAGAGGCTCACTGGTTCTGTGCAGGACATGGGCGTGAAAAACAAACTCAAATTAAGTAAGTGATTTTAGGTAATTTCTGTTTTAGTAAGAGTTTTACGGCACTTACAACATAATAAGGTCACATAAGTGCCGAAGAATAGAGGTATTACAAGAGAATAACAAATGCAAAAAAGGAGGAAAGATCAGGACAATAGATGTTTGGTAGGAAAGAAGGAGCAAACCACATTAGAGCACCCGCCAACCAACCACAAGGTAATTTCAACATGAATAAGTCAGACAAATGCTAAAGATTTGAGGTGTTACTAAAGAGGACAATACAAAAGAAAACAAGAAAGAGATAAAGACGATAGATGTCTGATTGGAAAGAAGCAGCAGCATGTGCAAACTACCCTTACTTAGTTTTCACAGAATTACTGACACCATCCAGTCACAGAATTGTAGTCCCCCCTAATGGGTGGAGTTTTTTTTAACCCCTCCCCCCAGTCACTACCTCACCAGCTCCCAGAACAGATCACCAATCCCTTTAGTTTTTAAAATCTTATAGTTTTAGTAGAGTGCGCTCGCAACTGCATAAGGTCATATGAGCGCGCGGGACACACGTAATATTTTTAGGTGGAAGGAAATTTTGAATTTTGCCCGAGTGGAGGTCGAAGCCTACTCTTATCGATTTTAGACCACAAAGGGATCTTTAACGAGCGCAACTTGCACACGGGTCCTCCGAGATTTTTCGCCCTTGTCCGAGAAGGCAAGGTGTAGATCTTTCCTATCAGAAGATCAGGGGTGTGGCAGAAAGACAGCAGTAAGAAGGAGACAAGGAGTAGCAGTAAGAAGGAGACAAGGAGTAGCAGTAAAAAGGCTGCAGAAACAGTCAGGAGCCCAGAGGAGGGGGCAAAGGAGGTGAGGGGGTGGGGGCAGAAGACAGAAAAGTGCAAGAGAGCAGGAAAGGAGGTGAGGGGGTAGGGGCAGAAGACAGAAAAGTGCAAGAGAGCAGGAAAGAAGGTGAGGGGGTAGGGGCAGAAGACAGAACAGTGCTAGAGAGCAGGAAAGGAGGTGAAAGGGGACAATTTTAGAGAAGAAAGTTTTTCTGTCACTACCCGGTTTTGAACCCGGGACCTTTGAAAAAGAGGCCAACACCTTAACCTCTAGGCCATGAGAGTCCCCAGAGCAAACTTGATTGGGGGGCGAGTTGGAGGAAGAGGAGAGAGAAAGACTTGACAGACATGAACATACCTTCTGGAATCTCTTCCTCATTCAACTCCCCTTCCTGGTCACCAGCCAACTTGTCCTCAATCTTGCCAGACTCCGCGGTTGCCTCGGCAACGTCTCTCGACGGGCTGCTCACAAACTCCGGCTCTCCTTTCACAAACATAGAGTACCCCTTGGACGGGTTGGCTTTTCTTGTGGCTGAGATCGTGCTGGTTTCCTCCTTTGGAGGTGGAGTTGCTTCCCTCTCCTCGTGGCTCTTCTCCATCTCCTGGAAAGCCTTCAGTTCCCAGGTTTTTTCGCTACTGGTTCCTGTACTGATGGGGGCAGGCTGAGGTAGGGAGCCTTCCTCTGGCATCGGGATGGCTTCAATTTCCTGAGAAATGACAAAAAACATTCATAAGAACAAAGTTAGCTGAGATGTAGTTTGCCGCATGTCAACAGCTAAAAACTCATTAAGACAACATAACCACTACTCAGATGGCTTACATGACCACTTTATGTCAACCATGCTGCCAAAGAGATATTGATAGAAACACTAAGACAGAGATAGAGAAGGTGGAGAAGTAGAGAAAGTCCATTAACGACCCAGATTGATAAGAGACAAAGAAGAAAGAACTCCATAAAATATACAACATCAATTATCAAAGAAAGATTCCAAATGTAGACTGAATCTGCTGTGTCAGCGGTCACATTACAACCACCACAATTTGAACATAATTCCCTCCAATCAAGAGTTCAGTTCATTTTGAAAAACAGAAAAGAAAAATAACAAACGGGAACAACAGACCAAAAACAACAACAAAACAAAAAAACAAAAAACAACCCACACCCAAAAGAAGCACCTTCCATGTACTGATACAGTATGACTTACGGAGAGGAAGTTTCTCAGTTCATCGTCCATGTCCCCACCAGGTGGCGCTTCTTCCCCGACCGTCTGACCCTGATCTGTGTCTGGACCATCTTCTGGGGTCGGGCCTGATAACAAACAAGAAAACTGAGTACAGTGTGGAATGCTACAGTAATGCGGACACTAATTGTAACTTCATACATCACATTTAAAGGAAAAAATGAAGAGAAAAAAATAATTGACTATTGCAACTTCATACATCACATTTACAGGAAGAATGATAAAGTCACTGGTGTTTATAAAGTAAAGGTTCAACTCTTCATCGTGCATATATGGAAAAATGAAAGTTTGATACCCTTGCAGGGAAGACAATTTATTAAGTATCTCCATATCTCTCCTGGGATGTATCCCACACAGCCCATATTGATTTCATGGTCATCTTTCATAGTTTTGAGTTTAAAATATCTCTCTCAGCGTGTCTGTACATGTGCTTGTTGCACTCCCCCCATCCCCCTCCCCCTCTGAACGTAAGACTGTTTTTGTCTAATCTCTTCTTTTTCTCTCTGTGAACGTACGTGTGTTTGCCTCTCCTCTTCTCACTCTCTCACTGTGAATACATTGCCTCATCTCTCTCACTCACTAACCTGGAGAGACAGTCCTCTCTGTGCTGGCAGCTGCCTGGTTGTCATCACTTTCATCAGAGTCAGAATCTGCATAGTCACCGACTAACCTTGGGGGTTCAGCTTTTCCTTCAAAAACAAAAAATACCGGTACCTCTTTCATTCTAAGACATAAATGCAAAGTTCACTTCAGCATAAAGAACCGTATAACTTTAAAATTTTCATCACAAAAAGAGGGGGAAAAGTTTTCTGGGGACTATTCAGGGGGGAAAAAAGGGAAATCAAATGTAAAAAATATACTATACATCAAACGTTTCTAATTTACTATATTAAAACATTTTTGTCTCAATAGTTAACACAGAATACAGAATGGTGAACACTTAAAATTACCTTTTCCCTCTACAAAATCAATGTTGGCTCTGACAAAAATAAACATTCGACACAAATATTTCAAATAGTGAAGAAATGAGGAAGGCATCTGGGGAATTGTAGAAAGAGAAGGGGAGGGGGAGGAGGAGAGAAAGAGGGGGAGGAGGAGGAGGAGGAGGAGGAGAGAAAGAGTCCCCACATTACAGTCACAAAGCAGAAATTGGAAATTTAAAAAAACAAACACCCATACCCAGATCAAGTCAAATGAACTTCTTTTTCATATCATTAAAGGACAATGGTTAACCTATTTTTCACCTTAAAGCTAAGATATAAAAACAAAGAAACTGGAAACGTGTTGCACGCTTTTCTTGAACAAGAACAATTCCTAGTCGATAATGTAATAAAATAAGTGTATCTAAGGTCATCTATGTCGCATACCTGAATGAAGTCCTTTGCTGTATCCATACCGGTCTGAAAATACCAAGGAAGAAATTATGAGCACGATAAACTTTGGACACACATAAAGAAAAAAAATATGCTAATTCAGTAAAACCATTTGTGAGGCAGCGTGATGGAATCAGGCTCTCGTCAATTTTGGGGTATGTAGAGTTATTTGTATCTTCTTAAAGCTCGTTCACTTGTCTTTATTTGGATGAAAAAAATATCCAATTATCTTGAATACAAGTCGAGATATTTGCAAAAGAAGGAGAAGAGGGTCACCTGTTTTCAGAGGTAAAATTAGTGAGAAAATGGCCGCCAAAGATTAGTTGTTTCCTTTGCTAAAGAGTCCGTGGTAACTGAAAATTGACATTTTTTTGTGCCTTTATTCAAAGTTTTTAAGAAAACCTACACAGAAATTAGTTCTATAATGGGCATGAAAGGTGTTGAGCCAATAAAACAAAAGTCTGATAAAAATTCACAAACCAGCGGAAAAATGCAAGTTTCTTCACTTTGATTATTCTGATGAGAGCCTGATTCCACCACGCTGTCTCACATTTAAGCATGCATCACAAAAGTCATCTTTTACTCGCTCGTTCTTTTGCTGATGTTTAGCACCCTACTAGGCTAGACAAGGTCATGCTGGTAACTCTGAAGATAGCTCAACTGGTCCTGCAACAGGCAACTTTGCAGATCGAAAATATTTAAAGAAAGACATGAAAAACACGTTTATGCATACGTTTTTAGAAACTCTAATAAAACCATCCTTGAACTTTAACCCTGCAGTCCACTTCATGATGAATTTCACACCACATCTGCCAGCACTTATGACTGCAGCAACAGACACACAATGTGGAACAACCCAAACCCTTTTAACAAAACAAAAATTCAAAACTTGCAGGTCAACTTACGTAACTTGCTGGTGTTGCTGCCGTCCAACTGCACAATTTGTCGTCGTTTGCCCCCTCTTCTAGACATTACGCAGAAGAACTGCTTTGCTTAGAACATATCTGTAGATGTATTTCACCAAAAAGGGAATCATATATTATAACCCATAAAAACTGTTCATAATAGTTATGACAAGCTAAACAGGTCTGCCCATATTTCATGAGTGGTTGGGAAGGAGTTGGGACAGAAAGAGAGTAGGATCAGAGCTTATGTATTTACTATCTAAAATAACAACTGAAAGGCATATAAAATAGAATTAATACAAAATATATTACGATGGCTTTGCAACAGAAACTCTTACCCAACTTGAACTTTTTCGTACACACAACAATCTACACGGGAGATTTGGTAAAGTAAAAATAACCAAAATAAAAATGAATAAATTCAGCAATACCCTTCATCAAATAATACAAACAGGCATGTACAGATGTGTCTGCTCTTTATACTTTATTAACTTCTAGGCCAGAATCTACAGTACAACCACTGTCACTACTACATGTATCAGTCGATACACCATAACTAAAACTTCCTAATCCCCAACCCCCAGGTCTACTGTCTACTGATTCTAACTAGGGTCAGCTGTTGCTGTTTTCAAATCCCTTTAGCTGCGAGCATTTCGCTCTTCGCAGCGCAATGCCTCCCTCAAGTAGCCACATGTCCTTGTCATCTGGTCAAAGCCAGAGTAGAGCAGGCTTTGTAAGTCTGTAGGTGTGTGTAGGAGCCTGCATCGAAGAACTGCCAGGTTTGGGCAATGAAAGAAAAGATGTTCAACGGTCTCCTCGTGTTAGTCACAGTGTCTGCAATGGGGTTCCCACATAGGGGTTAATTCTGTTTAAGTGCTTGTTGGTGTGTAAGTGTCCTGCGGGCTCTGACGATCAAAGTCTGATCAGCTCTACATAAGAGATTCGAAGGGTATTTGGGTGGGGTTGGGTTTGTCCATGTACCCGAAGAGAGATCTTCCTGTTTCTGCATTGGCCCATCTGTTTTAACTAGTGTTAGCTAAAACAAAGCCATTTAAAACAGAAGGGGATTATCAAGAGTCAAAAAGTCAACTCCAAATAGACTCTTCAATCTTTAGTAATATATAATATGTCATGTCATTTGGAACACTCGCTTCCTCCTTAAGAGTCACTAGAGTCCCTGTAACTGTAACTTAGGCCAACTGAAAGATATGAATCTATCACTTGGCCTATGCCTGTCATACCTAATATATGGCTCTCTATGGCAGTTTGCTATGGAGTCATGCATATGGTGGAAGGAGGAAATTTTCAAGTGAGTTATCGTGAATGAAGTTGTCGCATGTGATAAAATATTAGGAAGGAGTTCCGAAGAGGGCCGCCGACCAACAACACCTAATCCTAATCAATTCTTGTATACAGGATGAAAACAGATTTTGAAAAAAAAAGCCAGAAAATATATGGCGCGCGCACTGACTGAAATATAAGAATACAGTGAGACTAAATTATATTTGTTTCTTTCCCTCTATTACAACAAATAATCTCTATTTAGTATACGGTATATATAATATGGATTGTTTATAGTAGACTTGTTAAAAGCTGGCGCCCAAATGGCAAGTCGGCCGCAAAAACCCGAAGATTTACATCCGTGTGTATAGATCTTGATCTAGTTTGCTCTGTGGACCATGTCACAGTTCAGTAAGTGCCAGCCCTTTGCGGAACTCGTCCCAATATTTAGAGCTAGAAACAGAGACAGTTCAAACAGCTTATTTAACACTTTGCAGTTGCACAGCCAGCAGTACAAAAAACCTGTCCCCGTCGTTTTATCTGTCATTGTGGTTTGTCGCGGCCGCAAATTTCGCAGCTCTCTGCAAACTACCGCAAATTTTTCCAAAAACATAGTTTTCAGAAATATTTTCCTTCTTTTGAGCCGTTCTCGAACTCAAAATTCATATTAGGCCCTTTGAAATCTGCCAGATTTGTTTCCCTTCATTCTGAAATTCATTCGCAGTCTAGATCTCTATTCTAATCCTATTTATGCTACAGTGGAGTCCACTTATAACGAGTCCTGAAACAACGAGAAGTCTGTTATAAAGACTCTATTCTAAAACCCCGTTTTTTCTCCTTCTTTATCTTGTAAATAAAATACTGCTATTGCGCCATCAGACCGTCAAGCGAGTCGGTTTTAATGCACAGCGCACAGACCAATTAAGCATTATTATAAAACCTTGCCAGTTGAGAAAGTTGTCGGTGATCCAGCGAAATTAAGAATGGGAGAGCCCACGCGAACCAACAATGAAGGCCGGAGCGAATGAATGGGGAATAAGTGGCATGCGCAGACAAGCAGAATGCATCGCGTGATAGGCCAGCCCAGTCTAGATTATCTAGGCATACCCGTGCCTCTCACTTGTCTGGTGAGGGATGGAGAAGTAGAAGTCACAATGCTGTGATAGATGGAGTGAATGTGTGACGTGCGCAAGCAGACGCAACGCACCACAGTGTGTGGTGGGGTGGGGGACAACACAGCGGGCGAGTTAGCCTAGAGCCAGACCCCCTTCTTTCTGATCGCCAACGCCTAGCTGTCAACATTGCTAGTGCTAGAGAAAGAAACCTTATTCGATTTTTGATCAAGTAAGACCTAGAGATCATGTTGAACAAATCATCATCAAGGGAAATACAAAAAGGAATAAACAGAGCGCCAAACTCATAGATTAGGCCTACTTTACCATTTTCCTTGAATTTATTATTGGATTCCTTGTAACGAGAATCCTGCTATAACGGACATTTCGCACCGGTCCCCTCCCTCTCGTTATAACAGGATTCCACTGTACTATTTTTTACCACTGACACTGGTACACTGTTGCAGTGTTAATCGTAGCAACCGTAGATTATAATTATATACAATCTTCTTTTTTCTGAGAGAAGACGACACCTCAATGAAGAAAATTTGAAAGCATTAGTGTTCCTATATATTACAATAACTTCATTGCTTGTGAATCTTGGATGTAAATTTGATTGCATTTTCATTTTCAGAATAATTTTTTAAAAGCATGACTTGCCTTGCCCTGCCTATGTGTCATCCCTGACTTTCAGAGGTCGTTGTAGCCTACCGTGAGTTTCCAACCAGTTCAGTCTTGTGATCTGAGCATGCATTGCCAAGCTGTTACCCATCCCGGCTTTTCCATCATCAGTCTGTAACTTACATTGTCTGCCTCTAGCTCTCTTCCCTTTCATCTGATCAATGAGAATTGTCCTTGGTAGTGAGTCATGGCGCATGGTGTGCACCAAGTCTGTCAGTTTTACTGATTTTAGTTTTGGTACCATAGCACTTCTCTTTGACTTTAAGTTTTTGCATCATAGCATAGCTTCATTTGTGATTTTGTCTTTCCAGCTGATTCTCCCTTGTCTGCGAAAGATCCACATTTCCGGAGCCTCAATCTTGATGACTAAATTTTTGTGCATTGTCCAAGTTTCCTCGCCACAGGAGGACACGATTGGAATGGTGTAGCAGTTCACCAGCCTTAGTTTCAGTTCCATTGTGATGTTTCTTGATAAACTATAATATGTGAAAAGATGATGTATAGCTTTCTAATATTCTTTTAATTTAAAAAAGTATGAATTTTCATAATAACCCCAAAACTGCCAATCTTTTTCAGTGTGTCTGTTTCATGGGGTAAGCAGCAATTGTCTGTATGGATTCTAAATGCAAATTTCGGCGTATTTGGCAATTTTGGGGGGCAATTTTTGGCATTTTGGGGACGCAAATTTTCGGGTTGCAATAAATTGCAAATTACCACGTGGACAGTTTTAGGCAAGAAAAATTGTGAAATTATGCAACTGAGCCCAAAAATTTTTAATTATGCGATTCTGTTAATTTTAACAAAGAATGATAGAGGAAAATAATCAGAAATCATGCAAAAAATGATCCCATTTTGCTAAATTATGCGGGGTGCATAAAACCACGGTGACAAAAATACCCCATCTGGTCACCCGGCCAGGAGAGTGACTACAATGGACTTGTTGGACCTAGCGCAGAACTGCGCCCGGTGATCGGAATGGATAATTTTAAGTCGCATTTTTGCGCCAAGTGAGCGCAAAGTGTTAATAAAGAAATGTTGAATACATACATGAAACTACAGCGAGCACCAAGCACTAGTACACCTCTGTGATTGGCCCAAATATAGATCTATAACGTATTTCCGCCATCTATTTTTGTCGTCTTCCGGGGCTTCCCTCGCCAGTTGACAAGATCTCACCGAGGCGGGCCCGCTTTGCCGCTTAGACTTAGTGTGCGATGGGCTACGTTATTTGGGCGATAACATAAAGAACGCCGAAACTTAAGCAGCTGAAGACCGACGTGGACAAGCGCCAGTAGGTGTCTGCTCGACTCCACATAGAGGGCGCCTAAAGCCTAGATCTAGATATAAGAAAAAAATTACTCCACAACACAGCTGGTATTTATGAAACATTTATTTGGAGATTTAAAAAAAACTCGAAATTCCTAAAATATTGCTTAAAATGTAATTCTGCTCATTGACCACCTGTCTACCGTGAAGCACCAGCCCTGAAATGGCCATTTAAAATTGTCACCTGTCCAGTCGGGTGACGTCACGCAAACTGCTCAACCCAAGTTGGCAAAGGCGAGACAGCATTGAGAGTTCGCGATCTCAGTGCTTTCTTGTCGCATCTCCATTTTTAACAAGTCTCCCGGAACATTTATCGTGTGGAAAAATATAACCTTTCACATCTAGGCCTAGATTTACATAAAGTAAAGGCGGGAGCTTGGGTTTTCTGATCAGGGAAAGAAATGAAAATTTTAAAAAAATGAAGGTCTCGATCTAGACCCACCCATCCAGAGTTCATCCAGTTTCACACAGTCCGCATCGCATTCCCACCCACCCTATGGCCTTCTCAGTATTGCTGCTAACCCTCACCCATCCTCTCCGCAATGGAGCACATTATATTAGTACTAGGAGGCACACTAGATAGCTATAAAATGCATTGTGAATGGAGGATGGGCCTTGTGCTTCGCATGAGAATGAGATGGAGAGAAAAGAGAAAAATTCTTCATTTTTGAGGCCGCTAATTGCTTTTATTTGGTTATC